ACCTGGTCTGGGTGATCCTGCTCTGGCAGCGCAGTTGGACTGGGTGATCTGTCAAGGTCCCTTCCAAGTGTTCTGTGATTAGCAAGACCACAGGCAGCAGTTCAAGTGTTCATTTCCCTGTTTAGCACTTGTGAGTTCACATCTGGATAAAGCATCAAGCTTCAGGGTTCCCCACAACACAAGAGAGATATTGACAAATTGGAGAGAGTCCAGAGCCACCAAGATGGCTGAGGAACAGGGAGAGGTGACAGACAAGGAGAGGTGGGTTTGCTTAGCCTGGAGAATGAGAAGACCAAGGAGGGATCTAATGGCAGCCTTCCACTACCTAAAGAGGGGGGCAGGGAGCCACAAAGAAGATGGAGCCAGACCTTTCCCAGAGTAAAAAGCAAGAGGGAATAATCAGTTCAGTGCAGCAAGGGGAATTCTGATTGGAAATAAAGAGAAAAGAATTCATGAAGAGTGATTAAGTACTGGAACAGAGCCCCAGAGATGTTGTGGTAATCTCCATCCTTGGAAATTTCCAAAACTCTGATCTAACTTGGAAGATAGTCATTCTTTGAGCAGAGGTAGAACTAATGACCTTCCAAGGTCCCTTAGGACAAGGAAGCCCTGCAGCACAACTTGATTCTTGCTCACCTGGCCTGCATCCAGCCTTTTGGCCAAAGGGGCTTCACCTCTCCATCTAGGAAGGTCTTCACATAGTCCTCTAGAGACTGAGCCTTATTCTTGTCAAGGTCATAACCATCCAACTTAATCTTCACCAAGTGGCAAAGCAGCTCCCTGAAGAACAGGAAGATTTCAAATACAGTTACGCAGATTAGCTTTCCCCAGTTGGAGGTCATTCAGTTTATCCAGGGCTAGATAAATACGCCAAGCCTGTCTCTGCATAACACCTTGCTAATAAAACCAACCCTGCACTGCCGCCATAAGAAAAAGGAAGGGAAAGGCACGTTCCTCGCTCTGCGTGTGCACGCGCATCGATGTGCCAGGGGAGAAAAGCCTTGTTATCCCTTCCCATGTTAATAACCTGAAACACCAGAGGCAGTAAGCCAATGTCAGAATTACAGGTGTCATTAACAACCATAGAACTGAACCTCTCTGCAGACCTTCATGCTGAGAGGCAATGAGAAGGCAGGAAGCGAAGCCTGCTGTGTTGTAAATGAATTGGCCATCTACAGAGCAGCACCCCAATTTGTTACAGAATAAGATGAAAGAAACAGCATGATTTATTCTCATTTTATCTTTTGTCACTCTCCCCTTCACCCAGCACTTTGTCAAACCCCTGGCTGCCAGAGGCAGCAATCCCCATTAGCATTAACAGCTTTCACAACCACAAATCTGATCTTGTTAAGAGTCTAGTCTGTAGGATTTTAGCACTTCAGCCAACTTCGTTCTTTTCCCAAAGATCTGTTCTTCTCTTTTGGCCTCTGCAGAGGCTTCTTAGCACTTCTCTCAGAGCTGGTCTGTGTCTGAAATTAGCTTAGTTTTGCAATGCATATAAAGGTGAAATTTAATAAATGCAAAAGTGGCTTCCATAAACGGCACAGTCTGCTACAAACCTCCAAGCTATTACTACAGATGATCAGCACTTCTCTGAAAACAAGACAAATGCCAAAATGCTTCACGTCCAACTGCATAGAATAAGGCAAGTCACAGGTTCACTTAATACCTAAATGATGCAAACCTGATTTCATCATTCCATTGAAATTTCTTTCGTGGTCCTATGACGCGCTTCCCTCCCTTTTCTTCATCCTCATCATCATCAGAGCAAACTCGATCTCGCTGCTCTTTGTCCTTTTCCTCTTCCAGCATCCTAAAATGAAGACAGAGATAATGTGGAAGTCATTGACCCTAAGATTCAAATATAATAGGTATCTCTGAAGAACACTGTTTGGAAGTCTCAAGAGTCAATAACACATGCATGGGGAGAGGGCTTGCATCTCTTGCCTAGAGTGCAAGCTGAGGTAAGCGCTCAAGGTTAATAAATCTCCCAACAGTGTGTAACAGAGAACATGGGACTAATCCAGCCTGACTGTTCTCAGACTTTCATGTTCCTAAAAATCACACCCACACAGAAGTGAAACACTTCAGGCAAGTTCTGGTCCAATCAGTGCTGCTGTAGTTGGCACTGCCATAGATAGCAAAAAGAATGTACAGAGTTTAATTAGGCCAATTAATGCTCATCAGCAATTTTTGACTACAGGACAAAAATAGGTGGTAAACTTATGAAAGCAGCCTGCAGGTCACAAGGAGCCTGCTGAGAAGAGCTGCAGATGCATAACAAGCAAAAAGGGGCTTACTTGGCAAACTTGGTTTGAGTATGGGCTTGGCATTCATCCTGGTACTTGGCCATCTGCTCTGGCATGGCCCTTCCAATGGCTTCCTTTAGCTTCTGCAGAGGTTCCTTCAAGCGGCCACCCTAGAGCACAGCACAGAACAGACTTAAGTGCCAGCCAAGACAACCAAATCTGTCAGGTCAACACCTAGCAACTTCTAAACACACCCCACCAGATGTGGTGCCTGAACCGTGCTCAGTGGACGACATCACCACATTAGGTAGACAACAACTGTGGTTGTTGAGATCAGGAGTAACATGCACACAAGACAGGGCTGTGCTGCCAAATTCACTCACCTGCTCGTAGAGATAAAGCTTACGGGCACGCTTGACCAGAGTGTCCTTGCTGCAAGGCAAGAAAGCAGCCAGGTGGGCATACACTCCTGACCGGACCTGGCTGTTCAGCTCCCGGGTCTGCAGCTCTATGCTGAAGAACAAGACAAACAGCACTGACCAGGGACATGGCAGGGGTTCTCTAAGCAATATGAATACAACTCTGATTCAACCTAGAGAGCTTGGAAGCACAGAGAAAGGAACAGAACACAAGCCAAACTACATGGCAGTAGTTTAGATTTGAGAATCAACAGACTCAAGTCCTTTATCCTAAGCTATGCCTTTCATTCTAGTTTCAGAGTATCTGGAAAAGGAACAAAAGTATGTCAGCAGCCTCATTTATTCTGCAGTTCTTCCTGGCAACTGAAGCGCAGGAGTGTCAGGCAATGAAGCGAGAGGTACACACTGATTATGTCAGATAATATGGTGGTCTAACTCAGGATAATATAGAATCTAACTATATCCCTCAGGCTTGAACTTACTTCCCAGTGAGTAGGTTAGAGAGGTCACCATATACCAAACCCATCTACGCAGTTATATATAACTTCGGAGACCAGCTTTTTAAGCCATCTAACAGTGTAAATAATAAGTGTAAAAACCTCTAACTGATTCTATGGCAAAATCATACAATCTGTCTAAATATTTTCTGAATGTGGTTAAAGTTATCAGTTTAATGACACATTAGGACTGTTCATGCAGGCACTGGAATACTGAAAGGTGACAATCACCACTTGAAATGAGAGGGAAACAGACTCCCAAAAATCCCTTTGGCAATTCCCTTCAAGTGCTTTGGTAAACCTTAATGAAATTAAGTATTATTACAGCACAATGATCACAAAGCTGTGTGCATTCAGCAGACTTCTCCAGGCACTTGTAGAAGAATGAAGCAATTATCAACAGCTTCATGAAGCAACACTGGCATTCTATAACTGGGGGACTCGAAAACACACAGCAGTAATGGAGTTCCTCCAGTTTGCACAGAAAGCCTGTTGAACACAGCAGTCTTATCCCAGTTATAAAATATTCCATATAGCGTATAACTTAAATAGCCAAGAGCATGCTCAACATGTCTGATAGAGAGAGATTTACTGTTCCTGTATCAAGCTACAATCACAGGTCAAGTGACCAAATTTAAGTACATGGGTATCAAGCATCATCTTGATAACAGGAGGCCTGGATACATCCCCTCCAATATTCTCCTACCTCAGTTATACATCATATTTAAACTAAAAGCCATTTCTATGAGACTTTCACGTTATCCTAGGCATGGAGGACCTGCATATGGACACCCCCACAACTCCCACTAAACCTGCTCCTAAATTTACCAAAAATGGTCTGCCTAATATTCTCCTTTCCCACTCTTCTGTCCTGGTGGCACTTACTCCAGTATGATGTTGTTGATATCCTGAGTGAAGAATCTCTGTTTGCCTTCTCCTTCTGCAGCTCTGGCAGCCTGAAAAATCAGCAAATAACAAAAGTGACCATCAGTTCACACACACACAGAGGAACAAGCAATCAAGTGTTTTTTTTAACCACTTCAGAAATGCTGTAAAACAAGGCACAGTTTTATCCCACCAAACTCTGCACCAGTCTCCTGCTGTAGATGGGCTAAAAGCTGCCACAATGGATGGACAAAAGAGAGACTGGGTCCTCTCCTCTTACATGTCCTCAGTTCAAGTCCAACCCTGCCATTTGAACTAGTAAGACCATGCCCTGCCCACAGACCTTCCCATTCTGGATTCTCTTGTCCAGATGCACTAGTGTCAAGTGAACTGGAGTTACTACACTGGAGTGAAGATTCCTCTGTTTAATGGGGCAAAGGAGATGGCTTGGTGGCAACTGCCTTTCTTGGCATACTTCTCATAGGGAAAAGGGACAGTTCTAAAGCATGATTTTAACTTCACATTAGAGCTGTTAAATTTAATAAAATTAGCATAGAGCGAGCTTGTGTTTGAAACAAGAAAGATCATCCTAGCCATGTTTAGTGATGGTCAGGGATACTTATCACCAGGCTTTCTAGACCAATCTGGACACTAAACAAAGAAGCCAACAGAAAAAGCAGCAGCCACAGGGGACGTGTTATTTCCAGTCAACACCATGGAAAAAAATAAAAATCCTGTTCACCTCAACTATGACTGCAGCACACACAGCACTGCTCAAAAATCACACCCATGAAAAATATATCCAGCAGGAAAATAATTCCAAGAGATGCATGAGATAGTAAAATGTTACCAACAGCAATTTCAGTCTCTTCTGAGTGGGGATGTAAACAAAGATGGGATGCACCACAAGGTACCACATTGAGTTAGTGATAGCTTGGCTGGGAAAGGAGACCAGGAGAGAAGGGCATTATTTTGAAATCCCCTGATTTAACACTCCAAGTTTGAGGCTGGTAACTAATTAATTTATGCCCAGAAGGTACACATTCCTCTCTGTCAGCAGTAGGTCATAGACACCTGGTGATATCAAAGGAGAAGGTTCAGTACTAAACAGAGTCCCCAACACAAAAACGCTTTTAGGAAGGAGAGGGTTAAAGTCAAATAAGTCCAAGAAGAAAAGGCCTGTAGGTTCCATTGAACTTGGGAGATGTTCCCACCTGCTGGGATGGAAGAGACCTGGCTCTCAGAGGTACAGCATTCCAACCTGCAAGAGAGTTCACATCCCAGAACCGTAACTGACCCAGAGGCTTCAATTTATTAAATCTTGTATTTCTCCTCCTTGGTTTCTTTTCTTAACACAGAGTCCAGCAATAAGAGACACAGCAGCAGGAAAATCTGTGGGTAGTTGGCTATTACACTATCTTGCAGCAACATAATGATTAACATGGGAGCCTCTGCAATATTCTCCTTTAACTCAAATATAGTTCAGAAACAGCTGTTTCAGTGTTCTTTGCCTAAATAACCAATAGAAACATTCATGAAAAGCCCATTCTTTTCATCAGCTGTGGTGATACTTTCTTCAATTCCTCCTTCTCTTTCATCTGCTCATCACTAAACACACTTGAAATTTCTCAGCACAACAGTTATTTTAATATAAGTTTATCTTTAGTAACAGGAGTTAAGTAAGAGATGCTTAAGTAACAGGTGCTCTAAGTTGATGTGCCCCAGAAGGCAGCACACGCACCACCACAGAGGTCTAAGAGCACTGTTTACAACTTAAAATCAATGCTTAAAACCAACACTAGCAGGGGGAACAAAACATCTCAGCCTTTGCTGACAGTGACAGGCCTCAAACCAGAGAAGCCCCACAGCAAGTCTGAAAGTGTGCTTATGTGACTTGCCAGGAGAGAGATCCCTGACTAGCACTCAATTGCTTCCCTGCTTCTCCAAAACGTTTCTGAGAAGATGGGTGAGTCTGAGCCCAGCTGCAGGAGGAGCTACTGGTAAAAATATGTGAGATCACCCTTCTATAAATTAATATATTCCACTCCCAAAACAGTACCCCAACACTGAGATGTTAAAGATGGGCAAAGAAAATTGCCAGTGATGCAGCTCCAATGGAGATGCCAAATTGTACTTGTGCTTCAGTGAAGGCACCTGCCTGGGTAGGACATGAGAAATGGCTCTAACAAATCCTCAAGCCCCGTCTACAGGGCTTTTCACGACTTCTCACACAGTAGAGCACATAATGTTTTCCAGCTGCACCCACTTATTTTACATACAGAACACTGCATGCCACTTCACAGACACTGATCTGACCATCACAACACATTAAAACCATTATGGTGGAATTTGTCCTCATTAGTTCACATTTTAAGTTCATTCATGTTAAATTGACTTTGGAAATTACCTCTTGCATCAGGTCTGTACTTTGCCAAGAGAGGTAAAGAAGCCATGCTGACAGGTGTGATACTGAGTGTTATATTCAGTGTCAAAGTCCTTGGCCTTGCTATCTACTACCTGACATCTGGGCATTCAAGAAAGTAACCTGGCCATAAAAGAAAACTGGGTGACAGAAAGGTGTGATGCCAGGTGGCACTGCAAAACTCCCCCACTGGAGCATGCTCTCTCTCTGAGTGAAGCTACACAAACCCAGCAGCACTGTCCTCCCTTCTGTAATCACACAATCCTACTGCCCCACAATGGACTGCCATACCTGAGTCAGTTCTTTGATGCGTTTCTCCAAAGGGGCTGGCAAGCCTTCTGGGAGGGATGGCGGTTGCTTGAAATCCTGCTCCAAGCCCATCCCAATAGGATCACTCCCGTCCTCCACATCAGGAAAAGGACTCCCCTCTGGGGATTCACTGAGGAGCTGCTCCAGGTCTACGTCCGTTAATGAGTCCATAGCTGTTGCTGCCTGAAGCAGGTCATTATCACTGGTGTGGCCGAAGAGCGAGAGCAAAGGGTCAGACATCGCTTCTGCCTCCCTTGGGGCTGAAGGTTCTGCTGGTGAAGGAGTTGCCACTTTCTGCTCTTCATCTTTTTTCTTCTGAGCATCCTTCTCTTTCTGAAACTTCTTCAGCATCTCCTTGACACTAAGAGCACCGGAGTATTTCTTCTTCTTCTTCTCCTTACTCGCATTTAATGCTGTAAAGCTGTAAACAAAATACAGAGAAGGAAACTGAACTGAAATGAATACAAGATGAAGGGGAAGAGACAAGGATACCTTCACTCCAGTTCACTTCAGCCACATGCACCAATCCCCCTGGAAAGTCTTAGCCCATTAACCAATACACCAGGAAAAATATTCTATTGCTTCTTAGGGTCCTGCTGGCTGTTCAGATTGGAGAAGGTTGTCCTTCCTCACTGCAGAGGTGATGGAAGCTTAAATCCTCTCCACCAAGTTGTGCTCTTTTTTAGCTATGTGCATTACTCCAGCAAGGAAAACCTGGAGATACACAAACAACTAGTACAGAGGAACTGAGCAAGAGAGCTTCAGCATGACAGCAGATTGAAGTGTTTTGCCTATTAAAACCAGGACAACTAATTCCTTTTCCTTGTCTTCACACTCTCCAATATCCATTCCCATCATTAGTGCCTAAACAGAGCCCCAAGAATCACCAAGGTTTCAGCTACTTGTGCCCCTCTTTGCTCAGGCACTCTTGCAGAGGAGGTGTGCTCCTTCCCTCAACATCAGCTGTTTTTTTCTTGCACTTTAGAAGCAATGGGGTTTACCTGCTGATGTTTATGCAGCATGTGCTAAAGCCTGCCCTCCCCACTGCAACAGGTACTACTGCAGCATAACAAATGCCACCTGTAACCCTGAACCAAAGTGTTGAGCAGTGAGCCTTTCCTCCTCCTTACCCAGCTTTTGGGAACTTGGACTTTTTGGATTTCTTTTCCTTGTCATAAGAATCATCTTTCTTCTTTTTCTTCAGTTTTTCACCTCCATCTTTCAACTTCCGCTTCTGGAGAGGGTTAAAAACCAGTCACAATCAAAGTGTCTCCTACAATGTTCCCTGCACAGCCAGAGCCCTCTCCCAAGAATCTGAATCCTTCCCCACTAGACACATTAACCCAAACCCCAGACATCCATCTCCATGTTCTGGTACATGCTGTCTTCAACATTGCACAGTGCACCAAGCTTTTACACAAGAGATGATCCCATCAATAAAGGTGACAAGATGCCAAGTGCTCCCACTGTTTCCCCTTTTAGCCACCTTGCTTTGGCATTATGAAAATGAGTCTGTCTCCAACAGAGAGGAGAAGAGGAAATAATCAAGAAAGCTGGCTTACTGACCTTGGGACACTTCTTCTTCTTCTCTTTAACATAGTCGTCTTCAGAGTCAGATGCCTGCCGAAACTGCAGTGTTCCTGAGTTGATGTAAAACCCTCCATACTTTGTAGTTAGAGAAGCCGGAACAAGCTCATCATACTGGAAATAAAATAGAACAATCCATTAGCACTGTAAAATTTTTATTTTACTTTGTAGCTGAGCTGCTTGGAGGATGGAGTGGGACTTGGCTGTGGACATATTTGTTAACCAGCATTCTCCTGCCATGCAGCTGCCCCAGGAGCTCTCAATTCTCCAGCCCTGGCATGCTCCCAGCTTGCACCCAGTTCAGGTTCTCCCCAGGTGCTAGCTCAGCCCCCCAGCCTTTAACCACCCTCACACCTGCCCCACTACTCACTGCTTCAGAATTATCAATGAAGGAGTCAGATTCGTCGTATCCATACCCCATATCAATCAAGTCCTGAATACGGTCCTTTCTACGTTTCTTGCCACCCTAAACAATAGAAGATTGACAGTGTGTTCATCCTTCTTCTCCAGTTACCACAGGGATGGCCCGGATACAGGACACTGACATTGGCTCCAGTACAGAAAAAAGAATGAGAATTTTTTTGCTCCTAGCAGCAGCAGAACCAAACCAGCATTAACACATATCATTCTGTAATCTCGGGATATGGTCAATCCAGTTTCAAGCCTTGTCTCCTCTGCAACTAAAAATGGTGCAACCAAATGCAATTGAACATAAAAAAATAAAACATAATATAGTTTTATCGCCATCTGTGGAAGTAAAGTGAGAGGAAGAACAGAAAAGAAACAGGTAAGACAGATCAGCATCTCGTGCTACCTGGTGTATTACTGTCCTAAGGCAGCAGACTTACCAGAGCACCATACTTAGACTTAACAGATTACACCATGCCACAGTGACAAAGCCTAGAAATTAACTTTTGCTTAAGAGAATTAAATTTTATAAATTACAGTAAGTTATTTGCCACTACAAGTGAGAGTGTCATTCACTTTAGTCAGACTGTCATCTGATTTGAGAACGTATAACTATTTTCCAGGACCAAAACTCTGAGACAGGAAAAGAACACAGAAAACAGCACTTTCCAGGCAAAATAAAGGACTGCAGGAGAACAGGAATGTAAGAGCCAAGTACCATTAAATACAGCTGGTTGAGAGCTGAACAGCATTACCCATGCTCAGGAATGACGTAAGAGAAGAAAGAAAAACTTACATATTTTTCTTCAAACTTCCTAGCAAGAGCCTCCACTTTATGCCTTTCCTTTTCGTCATCATTAAAGGGATCAGTGGGTTCTTTCCTCTGTAGAAAGGAGATAAAAACAACAGAATCAATCCTGTCACGCCACCACCAAAACATCACACATTAAACCCATCACAACTGGAGCACCCAGGCAAAAGCTCAGACAAATCAACCTTTAGTACAGCACTGAGTACAGTGCTGTTTAATATCTTCATCAATGACATAGACAGTGGGATCGAGCACACCCTCAGCAAGTTTGTGGATGACATCAAGCTGAGCAGTGTGGCTGAGGCCTGAAGGACATGATGTCATCCAGAGGGACCTGGACAAGCTGGAGAATTGGGCCCATGTGAACTTCATGACATTCAACAACGTCAAGTGCAAGGTCCTGCACCCATGCAGCAGGGCCACCCCCAGTAGCCATACAGGCTAGGGGATGAAGGGATTGAGAGCAGCCCTGAGGAAAAGGAATTGAGGGTACTGGTGGATGAAAAGCTGAACATGAGCCAGCAGTGTGTACTCGCAGCCTAGAAAGTTAACTGTGTCCTGGGCTGCATCAAAAACAGCATGGCCAGCAGGCTGAGGGAGGGAATTCTGCTCCTCTGCTCTGGTCAGACCCCACCTGCAGCCCTGCATCCAGCTCTGGGGCCCCCAACATAAAAAGGGGTGAGTTCAGAAGAGACCACAAACATGATGAGGGGGCTGGAGCACCTCCCATGCGAGGTCAGGCTGAGAGAGATGGGGTTGTTCACCCTGGAGAAGAGAAGGCTCTGGAGAGACCTTACAGCAGCCTTCCAGTATTTAAAGGGGGCTTCTAAAAAACATGAGGAGGGACCTTTTAGTAGGGCCTGCAGCAGTAACACAAGGGGCAACGGCCTTAAACTAAAAGACGGAAGATTCAGACTACATATAGGGAAGGAATTTTTTTATGAGTGTGGTGAAACACTGGCACAGGTTGCCCAGAGAGGTGGCAGATGCCTCATCTCTGAAAACATTCAAACCCAGGTTGGATGGGGCTCTGAGCAACCTGGTCTAGTTGAGGATGTCCCTGCTCACTGCAGGGAGGTTGGACTGGACGGCCTTTATAGTTCCATTCCAACCTCAAATGATTCTGTGATTCTGAGGGTGTCTCTAGATTTCAGGTGCTCTCTCAGCTAGTTCTGTACCTGTCTCTGCTCCTCCTGACTCTCAAAATAAAACAAAAGCAATGTGAACCTTCAACTGACTGCTAAACAGTTCTGCAGAGCAACAGTAAAAAATAGTAGAATCCAATCAACTGTATTTTCATAGAAGAACATCCATAAGACAAAGTTCAGATACTACAATCTGCACCCTGTTATATCCTGAGAAATAGCTCTCAACAGGCAAACAGAATTGTCAGGCAACACCTGGAACCACCACATCCACCACACAGGAAGAGGTGCCAAGCACTAAGGTGGAAATATTCACAAGCAGTAGAGCAGGGTCCCCAAAACGATGCAGCCATGTATCATGGAAGCACCTACCCTTTTGATGCTCTTTGGAAAAAGAACTCCTATAGCTGCTAGCAAGCCAGGTACCAAAAATCATGCTAGACCAAGCAATTTCAAACTAAACAACCATTACATTCCATACTCTGCCATCAACACATCAACTTTCTGAGGTGAAATTCCAGCCAAGGTGAAAGAATGCAACAGTGTGCCCGGATACCAGAACCCCTGCCTAGATACCAGTTCCGCTGCCTGTAGGATGCCTCACCACTCTCCTTCCACCTCTAACACCTAACCAACTCGCAGAACAGAATTAAAACAGCAATACTGAAAAAGTCTTTGAAATCTTCAGATACGATATAGGTTTCCCACAGGTCACAAGGACACTTACCTTGTCTCCTGAAAAGCCACCTTTTACTTTCCCTTGACAACTCTTCAGAAGATCTGGGTAGAAAAATTCTGGACAACGTTTGTGATCTGGCTCAAAAAGAGTGAGTGTGATCCGAACGGCTGTCGCAGGCGGTTCAGAGTCCTGGGGCTGCTCTCCATCATCTTTCCGAGACCTCTTCAAGAAGCTGCTGCTCAGTGGACCGTGGAGAGTGGTGAATGAAACCCGGTGGGGCTCCGTCATGGCTACGGCCAACTCTTACCAGTCCTCATGGCATAGTTCCCATTCCATCAGAAAAGGCCTGAGCCAGCTGCACACATACTTCATTGGCTGGTTAGGGATAACTGAGGACGTTAGAAGTAGAACAAGTAATTTAATTTTGAAGTGTCGATGGGAAATGACAAAGGCCCGTGCTGCCAGTACTTGCTGCAAACATTAAAGAGAAAGAAAAAAAAGTCAATGCTCCAACCAGAATCCCCTCACACGTTGGCAGCCCCCCACGCTTTCCCTTCTGTCCACCCTGCAGTCTTTATCTTAATACCACATCGCTCCGTTTCCAAAGGCAGAAGGAAACGCTGCTATCCAGGAAACCGAGCGACTGCAGCAGACTTGGGACACGGCCCAGCAGCCCCGGGCAAAAACACCGGCCTGGGCTGCACCGCCCCGAGCCAGGGCTCCGCTCCGCCCGGTACTTCTCCCGCTACGCAGAGACCCGGGCACCCCCGGCCCGGGGAGCGCGCCCGCGTCCC